ATTCAGCCGTTTCAAAATGTTATCGTTACGACTTCGGTCACAAATTGGGGACACATTTTTATCAATTATCGATTTACAAACCGACTGGACGCCAAAAGTTTGGAACTGAGTACAAGTAGTGATGATGCGGGAACAACATCGTAAGGATCGACGTCACATCACGAACTGCGGTAATAAGACCGTAGATCCTCACGGTGCCACGTTGTCGCGATAATGTGCTCACAAACAAATTAGCGTCGAAGGATAAACTACGTCATATCACCCATTTTGGAGCGAATGCAAAATTTTAAAACGCAGGAGAGGAGGGAGCGCTTACCCAATCGAATGAATATCTTTTAAATCAAACAAGTTTCTTTATTTAAAAAAAAAAACTTTAAAATGTACTTTTAACTATTTATTTATATCTTTTTCATTTAGGCCATAATTTTTCCATAACCCAATATTTAAAAAAAAAATTCTTGTACATAAAGATCGTTCCCCCATTTCTGTCTATTGATGTCGCAAAAAAACTGGAACTGTAACGTCAATCGGCAATCTTTATCAAAACTGGATAACGAAAACCGGCAATATTTATCAAAACGGGAAACTTTTACCTTCGGGACTGTCTAAAAAGTAGTAATTTTATCAATTTTACAGCAGCCAAACCAAGAGACTGGCCAAACGGGTGGCACACAACACAACAGAATCCTGAAAATGTAACAGTTGGTCATTGACTAAAGCAGACGTCCACGTGCCCCAGAATGGGACATTTCGCAAAGCTTGGCAAAGCTTCGCCTCAACTGACGGCAGTGTAGCGCTCCCCGCACGACTGCGCTCGCGGTAACGGCCTCCCGCCCCACCCGAGTATATTTGAGGTGTCAGCCCCCGCGCGTTCTGCCTATTGCTAATCAGCTGCACTCGCGCAAGCACCTCTACTATGGTCTGGGGTAAGTTAACTTTCAACAGTTTCATCGCTACCGGTTCAGTGAACAAAGGCATAACACAGCAAACCATATTTCAGGTACGGTCATAATATGGCCGTTCTTACTCGCCGTAGTGATCAGCACTCATGCGTACGACCCTGAGATCGACGGCTACAACCCGCCGTCATGCAGCAAAGGGGAGTACAAACTCTCCCCGCACAACTCGTGCAAAAAGTTCTACCAGTGCAAAAATGGAAGAGTGAGCATAAGAGTATGCTCAATGCTCCAAAAGTTCGACAGAAAAGGGTTAAAGTGTAAATACACTTGGAACGTACACTGCAAAAACATCATACCCAAACAAAAACCAACGACTACAGAAACACCATTCATTGAACACCCGACAAGCACTGCAGCCCCAGACATTACAACTCAGTCAGGTAAAACATGGGACACTCCCGCTCCACCTTATTCAACACCCGCAGCAATCGAGAGGAAGTCTTTGGGAAGAGCGGGTGTCTCCGAGACTACTCCAGCACCGGGAGCTGTGACAACGACAGAATCAAGTAGCTCAACACCTGCTTCGAACGCAACATCGTCCACTACCCCAGCGCCTGAGAAACTCACCACACCCGCACCTGGTGAAGCGTCGTCTACCACCCCAGCTTGTGAAGCTGCCACGACCACCCCCGCGCCGGAAGGACAGACCACACCAGCGACTGGTGAAGTGTCTTCAACTACACCTGCCGGTGGTGAAGCGGTCACAACGCCAGCACCCGAAGGACAAACAACACCTGCACCTGTTGAAGGGTCATCAACCACACCTGCTACTGGTGAAGGTACCACAACTACGCCAACTCCAGATGGTCAGACTACACCCATAGCTGGGGAAACTTCATCTACTACTCCAGCTAGTGGTGTTGCGGGCACAACTACTCCACGCTCTCGGTCGTCCCTTGGGCGTTCCGGCGTTCCTGAACCGTCTTCTACCACGACAGAATCGGCAACAGCATCGTCAACCACACCCGACAGTCGCTCCGCCATTGATTCCTTGTATCACTCATCCACCCCGTCGCCTAGCAGCAACGCTACCCGTCCCTCGCCGCAGTGCCCATCTACGGGCTGGCACCGCTACCCGCACGCGGATTGCTGGAGGTTCTACGAGTGCCTCGAGGGTGTTCTGGCCGAGGTTTCGTGTTACCCTCTGCAAACCTTCGATAAGTCCACCGGCCGTTGCGACTGGTCTTGGAAGGTTAGTTTTGTCATGATATGTTCAGATGTGTGAGTTTCTTTTAAGCAGGGTGGTTTGTCAGCGCCAACAGAATGTTTGAAGCTACGCTTTGCTCACGCCTGTGTATAGGTCAACTGCCACGCCAAGTCGAAGCTGCCGGTCCTGCCCAACACTCAGCCGGAAGTACCCTCGTTCGGGTACCGGCCACCCTCGTGCCCGGCGTCCGGGGCAAAGAAGGCGCCCCACAACGACTGCTGGAAGTTCTACGACTGCCAGGACGGCGAGCTCTCCGTGCAGCAGTGCCTCCCACTCCAGCGGTTCAACCGCAAGACTCTGACCTGCGAGTTTACCATGAAGGTATTCACTCTGCAATAGTGTTTGGAGTGCTCTGTTCCTCCAGCTCATCGTTCAACCCTGTTTCACACTCCCCCTCAACCGTGTTTGCAGGTCAACTGCGACGCGCTGCCGCCCTCGAGCGTGGAGCAGCCGGGCGCTGGAGGCCGTTCTCCAGTGCCACCTATCCCGGTCTGCCCCGCCAGTTCGACGGTGGTCGCCGCCGAGACGGATTGCGGCAAGTACTGGAAGTGCAGCAGCGGACACGCCAGCCTCGCCTCCTGCGGCAGCCTCCAGAGGTTCTCCAGGAACACCAAGAAGTGCGAATGGCTGTGGACCGGTGTCGACTGCGACAAGCGTCGAAACGAACTTTACTTCTTCTGAGCCGAAGCAAGTGAGTGCCTCAAACATCCTCCTATGCGACATCCGCAACATATTTGTCGTCCGTTTGGTTCATTCATGTTCAGTTCATTAATTCGTCGTTTATTTTACAGAGTCAGAGTACACACCAATTTGCAGGCGTAAAGTGTTCATATTCATTATTATCAATAAATTATTAACTCCATGTAGTTGAAACATGCGTTTATTACTTTCGTACACTGTTAGCGAAATTGGAGGGTATTCCCTCCGATCCACATGTCGAGTGGAATAGATCGATTTTTCGATTATTCGATCTAGTAAACGAAAACCCATTTTTCCCATCTTTTACGCCGACAGTGAGCTGCCACACTCACCCCAAACCCATCACATCTCACAGTCATGCATGCGCGTGGGTGGTTCAGTTTGCCTATCGTGTCGGACCATGGCACCATAGCATGAAGGCAACCCACCGCACGTGCACAATAATTCAATTGAGCCACCTGATACACAATAATAGTAAGTTTGGCTACACATAACCAAGGTGGTTTTCTTTGAGTGTCTCGCTCGGCGCGTTCAGTGGGTTGATAGTCTCGCTCCGGTAGCGGGCCGGGGGGCGCGCAGCGCAAGTCCCCGCCCCTTCCCCCTCCCCCTCCTCGGACCGCGCGGGGCGGGCAGCGGACCCCGATATGCTGACCAGTGGCTGGACCCACAGCATCGCCGTCCTGGTCTTGGTAAGAGCTCCCCGAGGTGAACGGAGAAGGTGACGATGGCTATAACCTTGTCGGTCGCCAGCTCGCCGCGCGCCCTGCCAGCCCCAGACGCGCCCGTTCCTACGACGATGGTGACCCGTTCGACGCGGACGCGACGAGGGCGCAGTTCAGCCGCCACAACTACCACCGCAGGGTGCAGGACCAGGGCGACGACTTTCCGCAGTACGACGGCGGAGCCGCCCCGCTGAGCGCGGCCGGTGCGGCTCGGAGGGATTACCGCTCCTTCCCGTGGTCAGACGACAACCCCCGGTCCCGCATGTACCCCCCGCCCCTGGCTGTCGACGGGGACGCCACGGGGGGACTAGGTTATCAGTTTCTACGACGGCGAGGCGGTGGCGGCCACAGGAGACACCTGCCGGACGACGCATACCGGCCACCGCCGGCGAGGTGGGCGGACCAGGGCGACGACCAGGACGACGCCGACTGGAGGGGTCCGCCTCGCGCCCGGCTTGCCGACGGCCGTGACCACGCCATCAGGTGGGATCGGCGTCAAGGTGCGGATCCGACAGAGGAAAGAGACCGCCCGGGCGGCGCGAAGTCAGGACGCCGCCCTGAGGACACGCCCAGGGCAGAGTCCACGTTAGAGGGGAGGCAGGAGCCGAGGCAGGAGCCGAGGCAGGAGCCGCGTCAAGGCGCGAGGCGGGAGGACGCCCGTCAGGACCCGCGCCAGGATAGAAAGGAACCGCGGCAGGACTCGCGCCAGGACACCAGGCAGGACCCGCAGCTGGACGCCGCACAGGCCGTGGCCTCGGAGGGGCAACCCGATGGCAGGACGGCGCAGGACGATGTCCAGGACGCGACTCCCAACCCCAAGCCACTCATCGTGCGCGTGTGGCTGTCCATCGACCAGAGGTCCGGCCCCGTGCTGCTGCAGCAGGTGTCGCCGCCGCCGCCCCCCTTCCAGCCTGGGGCAGTGCACCTCGTGCCGGGCGGCGGCCACCGCAGACCGAGGCCGGCACCTAAGGCGCCGTCGCCACCCGGCGACCTGCGGGGCGCCGACAAGACTGCGGCCAGCAAGCACATCGTCATCAACAACTACTACAACCACTTCCCGCTCGACGGAGCGACCCAGGATGGCGGCGAGACAACCCCCTACGAGCAGACCACCCCCGACACCTCCGTGACGGAGCAAGGGCTTGGCAACGAGGAGCCGCAGACGTCCGCGTCGGAGTCGAGCGCCGACCTGACAGTCCCGTCACTCGCGGACGCCACCGTCACCACCGCCATGCCCTCGCAGACCGACAGCGTCGAGCCACTCCCCGCCAGCGACCTGGAGACGTACTTGGGCTCGGACCTGAGGGACGCCGACGACGCCAAGCCTCCGGCGCACGCGGGCCACCTGTCCAAGCCGGTGTTGACGGAGAGGCTCGCGGAGCGGTCGGCGGACAGGACGGTGTTGAAGGCGGCGTCGGCCGTCAGGCCGCACGGGCACGCCGGGGACAGGACCAAAAAGCGCCGCCCGAGCCCCGGCCCGAGCGCCAGGGACGTCGACGGTGGGGGGGCGTCGAGCAAGAGCAGTGGTGGTGCGAGTGGGGCTGGAACCTCACCCGGAAACGAGGCCGGAAGCGGAAGCGGCGCCACGCGCACCAAGGCGCACGCCAGTGGCTCGCCCTCAAAGAGATGCTTTTCGATCGTGACGGAAAATAAAGTGAAACGCTACAAGGAGACCCCCTGTTAAAATCAGATCACTATGTTTTTCAAGAACCTTGCAAATGCACCGACTGTACAGCAGTACACGCTTTTAGTAAATCTGTACAAGGGTATAAAAAAATGTGGTCACGAGAGCGATTACAATCAATTTATTGTGGGGACTAACTAACATATTGGGTTTGGGCGTATATCTGGGGACGAGCTGTGGCCACCACTCGGGCGCTTGAGTCGCAAACGGCCATGACGCGTCATTTCTTCGCGGCAGCTGCCTGCAGATCACAGCTCTCTGACTGCCCGTATCCCTCCCCCGTCACAGGATTGCCATCTAACGAGAAACAACACGGCATCATTTTCGATTCACCGCCGCCGTTTCAGAGCGGGTTTACCAGGCAAACTATGCCTACTCCCTTCGCCCGAGGCGCTGTTGCCCCTGAGTGAAGTTGCAGCGAGAATGCAATCCGCTCTGAAACTCTCGGTACATAAAATGGCTAATTGTTTTTCAAATAACATACCTGGCCTCCGGTAGGCATACCGCCCACAAGGAGGGCCCAACGAAGAGCTGGGCTCCGCCGCGTCCACAGACAGGGCTGGTGACAGTGTGGTGCTCGCGTTAGACTCTCGTAAGCGGCTCATCGAAAACACTACAGAGGTGAAAACAGTCCCCCCCAGCGAACACTCACCTCCGTACGAGGCGTTCTCGGTCGCGACGCCGTCCGCTGCGGCGAGCGGCGGCAGGACAGCCACGTGGTCGCCGCCCAGGTCGTCGTTGAGGCTCAGGTGGCTGAGGTGCTGCGTGCGCGTGCGCACCCAGCGCCGCCGGCGCCGCGGGGCCTGGCTGCCGCCGCCCGGCGGCACGCCCTCTGCGGGACACGCGCGTCAGGAGGGTTGCCTACCCCGCCGCTGGCGGGCGGCCGCCGCGCCGCACTCCCGCGGGACGTGCGCGTCACGAAGGCTGCCTACCCCGCCGCTGGCCGGAGCCGTGACTCACCTCTAGTCGGCGCAGCGGCGTGCGCACCGGCGGGCGCCTCCCCGCCGCCGAACGCGCCAAAGATGCGGTCGTGGGAGTTGCCGTGGTGCTGGTGGGTGGCGGGGGTCTGCCCCGCACCCGTCATCGCCGCACGCCTTGTCCTCTGCAAAAAAAATTGAAATAAAAATACATGAGCTCAACCCGAGGCTCTACAAGGTTTTAAGATACTGTATTGTTTTCACAATGTCCAAAGAGAAGCGCAAATGAGATTTGTTAAATTCATAGTTTGCCCAATGACACGAAAAGGTGCAATGAACAATGACACTAAGGCACGAGGCATTAATTTAGATTTACGGTGTCACGCTCACCGTTCCAATAGAGATGGTCTTTAGTATTCCTATTTATCTGCTATCTGCATGGCGCTGAGCCCCGCCGCCCCTCTCTCTCACCCTGTTGGTCGCGGGCTGGTGCGGCAGGGGGCGGTGAGCTGTGGGCAGAGTGGAGGGCGGTGCGGGGGCGGCACTCAACAGCGCCGAGGCCGCCGAGGGCGACAAGGCCCGCGAGACGCGTGAGGCCCCGACGGAGCGGACGAAGAGGTGGGAAACGGTGCGTGGCCAGGGTGCTCAGGCTCGCACACAGGGTAGGGACATGGGGCTCCCCGGCACGTACTGTTGAGCGGGAACCATGTCAACCGTGGGGCGGCTGCCAGTCTGGCCAACACTGTAAAGTCCACAGTGGCTGTACACTCTGGACGCTTATTACTCACTTACAAGGCAAGGAAACAACGGCAAAATCCAATAGATCGAAAGGCAATGTTCGCAAACGTGGGAGAGCACCCCGACAGCCGACAGTCGAAAACCAACAAGAGTAGTCATACCACTTCCGGGTCGTTCCGAACACTTCCCGTTGTCATTCCAGTGATACGCCAGGGACGGAGCCAATGGCCGGCATGCACCCCGTGCATCCAGGGCTCACGCCCTCCCCGCTCTTTGCGCCCACCCCCGCCGCGGCCTCGGGGCTGGCGCAGCGGCTCCTGCAGGCGCTGTCCGACTCCGAGTTCGCGGCGACCATCGGCGAGCTGAAGCGCCAGATGGACCGGCAGTCCCAGCTGTTCTTGCAGAAGCAGCAACAGCAGGAGCATCATTACCACCACCAACAACAGCAGATTGTCAAAGCCACGCCGGTGGGGCAGGACACGGCCGCCCCGCAGAACCTCCTGGTGGCGCTGGCCAGGGCCACGCACCAGATTGCGGACCTCTGTGGCGGGGATGCGCAGGCCGCTGGTGAGAGCAACCTGCGCTCTTTGTCTGTGTTGTTGTTGTTGTGTTTTCCTTACAATACTTGAAGTTTTTCTAGGGGGAGACTCGCATGACAAGGCGGCGACGGGGCCGCCACGGTCCCCGACCCGGAGACAACACGACCTCGGCGACACCGCATCCGACTGTAGCGCGAACCCGTCGCGCCCAGACCCGCCCCCGAGCCCCCCGGGCACCACGGTGACGGACGGCGGCGCCCCTGCGCTGCCTGGCGACGCCCCGCCGCCGGGGAGTGAGTCCCTGACGGACGCGTCGCGCCCCGAGAGGCCCGCCCCGTGCGTCTCCCGCTCGGGCACCATCACGCTCAGCACCGGCAGGCACAGGGGAGACATCGGCACGCCGACCACACCGTCGAGCCTCGCCCAAGGGCGGGCCGCCCCCAAGCCAACGCCTCTATCCAAGAGGCCACCACCAGCTCCGCGACCTGCGGCATGGAAGCCACCACGGGCGACCGCTGCCTCCCCATCCCTATCCCCATCCTCGTCGAAGAGAAGGCCACCGGCACCGCCGCTGGGAAGCCGGCTGGCGGGAGGCCCGTGCCTGACGCCGCGCTTGACCCCGCGCCCCGCCCCCAAGCTGACCCCGCGGCCGGCGACGGGTGGCCACGCGAGCTCGCGGCCGCGGAGCCTGGCGTCGCGTGGCAGCGGAGTCGTCCAGCGCGTGCCGTCTCAGGTGGCACCCCCCGTGAGGAGACTAGGCGGAGCCCTGGTGGCCGACCAAGTCTCACCTCCCACCGCTCCCACAACGCAGGCCACCTTCGTAAAACAGCCCCTGGAGCCCCCCCGGCAGCCGCGCCCACACCTGCTGCAGCTGCCCGCGCCGGCGCTGTTGCGCCTGTTCGTGCACCTGGCGCCGCGCGAGCGCGCTCTGCCCGTCTGTCGCCGCTGGGTGGACCTGGGGCTGCGCGCCGAGCTCTGGCGCGCCCTGCACTTCGGCCCCCGCGGTTCCAGGGACGTCCTGTGCCGGCGCCTGGAGTTCGCACCTGCCCTGGAGCGACTGCGCGTCGTGGACCGGCGGGACGTGAACCACATCCTCAACGTGGTGGGTGTGCGGCAGGTTGAGCTCCCAAAACCGACAAATAGACGTCTGAATACATTCAAAGCGCTCCGTCGATGACAACAGGCGCTGCGGCGGTGCCCACGGCTGGCCCACCTGCACCTGGAGCGCTGTCAGGGCCCCGGCGCGGTGCTCCACTGCGGCACGTTCGCCCCGCGCACCGTCACCGTCCTGGACACGCCCGTCAGCAACCAGCTAGTCGACCTCCTCGCCAACGTCACCACCAGGATGCACGAGTGCACCGTGAGTCCCTATGTTAGCGTCCCCGCTCCACACTCCGTTATAGGACTGGGGACAGCTTACAGTACATCCCTCTCCCGCGGCAAGTTCCGCTTATCCGCTCACCATGCGATGCCGGAACACTTCGAAGAATGCCCGCTGTTGGCTGTTATCAGCAGCAGGAGCAGGGTCAGCGCGCAGCGAGACAAAGGGCTCGGAGGATGCGGCTCGGTGGCTCCGCGGCATGTCTTTGAGGCGCGTCCGGTGGTGGATCGCGAGAGTGCTGAGCGCACCGTTAGTGCCAGATGTGGCCAGAAGGGACACGGAGAGGAACAGGGGGTGCAATAAAATCGCGCCGGGTCGCACATCTGGTCACCGCACCGGGCTCACTGAGCTTCGGGCCTGGTCCCCGCCGTGCGTAAGCGCACTACCGCACTACCTAAGGGGCTGCCACCCCCAGGCCCACCCCAGGCCCTTCTGCAGCGGCTTCGGTTTCAGCGGCGGCCGTGGCCCCCCGAACGGTACTTTCTCATGTGAAGGCCGTGTGTCCCCGCACCGTGTTGTCCCCCAGCCAGGTCGCAGCCCCCGGCCTCCGCCGGGCACGGCCGAGAGCAGGTCCAGACTCGCATGTCCTACATTCCTGCCGAGGGGGAGGGTGGGGGGTGCGGTGCGGGAAGGTCGAGGACGAGCACGTCGAGCACGGACACCGGACACCCCCGTCACAATGACGACAGCCGCGCCGCTCGCCCGCTCGCCATCGCAACGGCTCCTTTGTTTCATATTTCTTTTTGATGTCGCCGCTTTTCTGTTCGTTTTTCAGGTGTCCGTCAACGTGGAACAGGCGGCGGCCCTGTTCGGCAGCCTGCTCAAGATGGCCCTGGTGGCGGACGGCAAGGTGCCCGAGCAGCTCAAGAGCCTGGACATCTCGCTCGGCAGACCGGGCGACAGCCAGCAGCACGAGGGCGACAGCCAGGATCAGACTGGGACCCTGCGGTGGAGGAGGCAGGGGCTCAGGGGCACCATGTCCTACAACCGAGTTCGCCTGTGCGCCACCTTCACCAGTAAAGCGATAGTGCAGTGAGACGCGCGGCCCCTGTGCACCATGACAACCCCTTCGCCCCCTCACACCACACGCACCCTTCGGAGCCCCTTGGCAGACTTATGCAGGTCACACTTTTCCTCCTTTTCCTCTCCCCCTCTCGCCTGCGAACTCCTATGCTGCCGTGCTTCGAAACGTGGGACCTTAGTCCACAACTCAGTAAAATGGGAGATGGATTCGGGGGGTGGGGGGATTTCGGCGGCCCGTTCGGCCCGTTTGGCCTCAGCCCAGCAGCCAGAGTGGTGAGTGAGAGTTACCTTTTTGCTCGAACGGAAGGGTTGGGTTGCGACAATGACGGGCGTTTCTGGAGACCAAACACAACTACTGCCGTGCCGTGCCGTGCCGTGCCGCCGCCGCCGCCAGCCGCCCCGCTAGCAGCACGCCCCCTCCGTCCCACCGCCTCCTTGCTACGCCCCCCGCCCCTTTTGACC